TTAACAGTCTGTTCAATCACAAGTGCCTCCCAGCCCCATCCGTCAAAACTGTGTTACAACATCAAAACAAGTATAATTCAGCTTTTTACAAAGTTATAGTAGATTGTCTGCCTGGCAGGCAACAACAGGGTAAGGACACCCATTCCAGGTGGGCAAGCCCCACTAAGTATTTATTGTTTGCACTGCTGCAGCATATAAAGACCTCAAGCACAATCGTAAAATATTTACAGATTCTAATAATAAATCAGTCAGGTTAGTAGAAAGCATCTGATTTAGTCCTTATTGCAGGCTGCAAATCAACTTGACGCACACATCCTGCAAAAACCCTGCAATGCAAACAGCCAAGCAACATGGAAAAACACAAACGCATTCAACGGCCAGGAAAGTTCTAGTTATTCTCAATGAGGAGGATCTGGATCAGTTCCTTATGGCCTCTCAACCTAAGCCATTCTGCTTATTTTAGAAAGGGCAGTCCCTTGGAGGTCAAGTTTTCACCATGTCATTAAACCAACTAAACAGATTCTGGCAACCCAGGCAGGTCAGAAGAAGGATCATGAAATCTAATCAGCAACCCCCATATCCAAGTTGCTCTCAGTTACATGCCTTCTTTTCAGGTTTTTTTCCTCTCTATTTTCCTCTCCATTTTCAACTCTTATTTAACAGCTATATTTAAAGTTCATTTGTACTTTTAAGTAATCTAACCACCTTTTGCCAAACTGCCTGATGTTCTGGTCTAAATGGTTTACCAGGTCACAGGGCAAGGTATTATAAAACAATGATCAAGCCGTGAGAGAGGTTAAGATTCTACTTTCTGAACTGCTATGCATAAATATAATTCCCCAGCACAAACAGGTTGGCTGCACTTCTATTAGCAGTTTAAAGATTACGTTTACAACGATCCATTAAAAGGAAACAAACCTCCTCTCTCTCCCCCCTCTCAGAGCAAGCACCTGATTTCACCTACAATGCCTTCGCAGCTTTCACAAGTAGCCTGTTGGTTTGTTGGGTTCTTTTAAAGCAAGCAAAGGGTGAAAAGCACCACCATGCCCTGGCAGCTTCTCACCTGCTCCAAAGCAACCACTACAAAACCCATCCCTGAAAGCAAAGATTATAGAAGTTCCCCGGTGCCCCCGGCACGGACACCAAGGTCTACGGAAAGCGGCACACAAAGCCTCAAGTGAGCACCCAGGAGCGGGTGAAGAGGCTTCCTAGGCCTTCACCACTCCGACACTAGAGACACGGAGCCCGCTCAGCCCTCCCAGCGCAGCCCCTCGCGGCCACCACGGGCCCTGCCCCCTCCCCAGGCGGGCGGTACCTTGGGGGGCCGGATCTTGCAGATGCCGGTTTTCTCGGCCAGGCCGCGGATGCGCCCGATGAAGCCGAGCGGGTCGCTGAACTCCTCCCAGCTGGGCTCAAACACGGGGCACTCGGGCGGGGGTACAAACTCGGCCGCATAGCGCGACCCGCCGCCCCCCGACATGGCCGCAGGGGGAGGGCGGGGAGCGCACCGAGGGCCGCGGCGGGGCAGGGCGAAGAGGGACGGCCGGGGGGCCCTCAGGGGCGGCCGGCGGGGCTGAGACGGGGGCAGAGGCGCATCGTCCGGCGGCGGCTGCCAGGCGGGGCGGCCGCAGGGAGGGGTAAACGGTGGTGGAAGCAGTCGGTGCCGAATGTTGTGGTCCCGTCCCCTGGGTTGCTTCCCCCCTCGCCGAGCCCCTCTCAGTAGCTTTCCAGCTCGCCGGAAATTACGCGTCTCTCTTTGAGCCCTCCCCCGGAAGTGAGATGTTGTGTTGCTCTCCGATCCAAAAAGTAGTCCCTCAGCCACGCTGCTACGGAGGCGGCTGCCAGCGCTGAGGAGCCGGCCGCCTCCCAGCCGCGCTGCTCCCGGAGGCACTCCTTCCGCAGCCTCAAGACACACGGCTCGGCCCACCGTCCCTCAGCGCACCCCACGGCGCGGCGGGGGAGGAACGAGAGCTGTGCCACCTCCCCTTCCGCCGCGGAGGAATGTGCTAAGAAACTTGACACATTCACTTCCGGTGCTCAAGAGCCATTTCACCCATTGTCTGAGCCGGACGTCAGGAGGAGGGCCGGGAGCCACGCCCCCTCCTGCAGGCCACGCCCCCGAGCCGAATGGGTGGCTTGCTTTTACCTCAGGGGTTTGGGAGTGTGGCGGACTTACTTGTCGGCAGCTGTTGCCGTATTTTAACGTTGTTTTAAGGAAACAGTATTATATTTAACTTTAGCAGAAAATGAGCCTTCAGCGCGGTGGCGGGGCCGCAGGGCCAGCACCGGAGGTCTCTGCTGTGTGCCTGCGGGGAAGGCCCGCAGTTGTGCCCCTCCGAGGCAGCTGTTGGTGCTGCTCTTTGAATTTAATCTCACTTAAGCGGTGCTGACGCCGCTCAGCAGGCGCTTCTGTTGGCAGCCCCCATCTCAGGCCCAGCGGTCGCTCTTGCTGCTTCTCCATTGAGGTCTCACAAGGCCTGTCAGTAACTGGTAACAAGGTTCTGGTAAGTTCTCCCCAATCAAGCCCCCAGCCTCTCCATTGCGTATACTCTGCTAATCTCCCCACATGGGATGTTTTATTTTCAAAGGAGGCGTTGGAACTAGATGAACATAAAGGCCCCTTCCAACCCAAACCATTCTAGGATTCAAGCACTCACAAGTCAGGACTTGCTCACTACCTCCTTCACCTCTCCATTACAACAGTCTTCCAAAGAGAATTGTGCAGTGTTTTTCTTTGAAACCAGAGCCCTGCCTTCAGTATTTGCCATACCCCATACTTCATTCTTAACTCTTTATTCCAGCCTTGGTCCTGGTGTACTATTTCAGTCTCGAAAAAAACTTAATTTCCTCCTCCTGTTACCATGAGGCTTGCAAGATCTCCTCCAGGCAGACTGACACATTTATCTGCACTGCTTCCCTGCCAGATGGAAGAAGTGCCGCCCACATTTAACATACGGGAAACAAAGGGCTCCAGTGCAAATGGGTAATTTCCATAAAAGGTTTAGGTGAGAGCAAACTGGTCTTGCATGGAGTGAATTTACCATGGGTTATTGTACTTTTGCAATGTACTCTTACATTTTGCAGGGGGTTCCTGGTGTGGGTGCTTGATGCTTTTATGACTGTAAAAGCATGTGGAGCGCACATGTTTCCTTACCTGTACCTAGGCATTATATTTCTGTGTGCTTCTGCCATTTTTCTCTTTTTTTCCTTTTATTATTTGGTTGTGTGTCTCTCCTGATGACAGACCGAGACCTGTGTGTGTTCAGCGGGCAGAAGAGAAGGTTCAGGGGAAACCTTAGTGCAGCCTTCAACACGTAAAGTGGGACTACAGGAAAGCTGGGAGGGGGGATTTTTACAATGGCCTGTAGTGATAGGACAAGGGGAAATGGCTGTAAATTGACAGAAGGGAGATTCAGGTTAGATATAAGGAAGAAGTTCTTTACTGTGAGGGTGGTGAGGCACTGGCACAAGTTGCCCAGAGAAGCTGTGGCTGCCCCATCCGTGGCAGTGTTCAAAGACAGGTTTGATGGGGCTTTGAGCAACCTGGTCTAGTGGAAGGTATCCCTGCTCATGGAAGGGGGTTGGAACTGGATGATCTTTAAGATCCCTTCCAACCCAAACCATTCTTTGCTTCTATGAGCTGCAGCAGATTCTTTTGAGGAAATGCATGTGTTCATGTATGTAACATGTGTTTCCATATGTGTGTTCTATTCCCAACAGCAGAATCACCAACATAGCCACTTTCCAAGATAAGCAGTGATTTAGCCAGGAATACTAGAAGGGGGAAAAAAAACAAACTCCAGGCTAGAAAGCACCTAATCCAAGCAAAAGCTTTGTTTTGAGAATGGGTCTTTTGCCAGTTTACTTCCAGACTGTTCAGTGTTGCTCCATTTTTGTGTCGCTGTGTTTGGGTTAGTGCAGGACCCTGGAAGGCGCTGCTGGGGAGGGTGCATGTTTTCCTCACAGAGCAAGAAAACTAAAGATCCCAAATGACTTTCATTTTACCAGTTCTCTGAGACAGCCTTTTAGAAACAGAATTTTACATTTCTTTCTGCCACCTCTTCCTGTTTGGGCGTAGTTAGCCTCAGAAACACTGAGGCACATGGGGACTTGCATACCCCACATTAGTCTTTATTCCTTGTGGCCATCTGGGAGCATTTATCACTTCCCTGATGGGAGCCCTCAGCTTCTCATACAACACACCCATGTGCTTTGAGAGCAGGTAGGCCAGCCGGTGATAACACTAGCCACTCACCTGCACTTTGCCTGGAAAATTGGCTATCTTCCTTTTTTCTTTGTTTCTTGAGAAAATTGATTTTGAGTAAGAGCCACATTGTTTTGTAAGTAGGCCTAGATTTAGTTTTAACATATATATGTAAAATACAGAAAGGACAAAAAAAAAAAAAGTTAAGAAAAAAAGCTGGCTTATTAGCGTGCAGGTTGTTTCCCAGCATGCTTAGGAAGTCCTTAATTGCATGATTTGTAAGACTGCTAAGCACTGGCTGTGCACAGGAAGGTACAGGAGAAAGATGAAAAACCTAAAAAGCATCTACGTGTTCTAAAAAACATTAAACGTGGTCCAAAAACCACATGTGGATATTAAGCCAGGATTGGACCCAGCTGCTCCCTGTGACTACTCAGCAACCCCTGTCTTCATTTGGTTCATTTTCAAAGAAAAAGGGGATGTTTGAGTGTTGTTTTTCATTTCTGTTGCTGTTGATGAACAGAGTCCCCACTTCAGGGGGTATTTATTCTACCCAAAGCCCCAACCCGTGCTATCACCAGCCCGGGATTACCCAACGAGGGCCCCACATTTCTGACACAAATACCCCCCACCAAGATAGAGCCAGCGCTTCGCCCCTCCCCGCCCGCCCCGCACTCTGCGCACGCGCGGTGAGCAGCCCACCCAAGGACTACAACTCCCAGAGGCGCCTGCGAGTAGCTACTGTCGACGGTGTCGCGAGCGCTGATTGGTTGAGGCGGTCGACGCTGCATGGAAGGTTGTCTGCGATTGGAGGAGGAGGTGGCGGGCTGCTTGTTGTCTCGCTGTTTAAGTTGAGGAGGAGCAGCTGCGGCGGTTGTTTTGCCGTTGGAGGTGTTTCATAGCGGTCTTGGGGCTTTAGTCCCCTGCTCCCGATGAGTCCGGCTCTAGCCGCAGGGATATGAGCTCAATGAACCACGCCGCGGGGACCTCCCCTCGCTCCAGAAGGTAGTGTGGGGCTGCCCGACGGGCGCACCGCCCCCAAACTCCTCTGCGGGCGCTGGCCTCGCGGCTCTCCCCGTTCTGACCGGTAGCCCCGCTTAACGTAAAGCACTGTTAGCCGCTCTTGTATTTGTTCTGCTTCCTTATTCTTACGCACTTACGCTTCTGTCGCTTTCCAGTTTTATTGCGCTCTACAACTACCTAGAAGGAGGTTATAGTAAGGTGTGGGTCGGTTCCTTCTCTTAATCAAGAAGTAATAGGATGAGAAGAAACGGCCTCAGGCCGCACTGGAGAGATTTAGATTGATTTTTAGGAAAAGTTTATTCACGGCAAGTGTTGTCAAGCATTGAAACAGGCTACCCAGGGAAGTGGTGGAATCGCTGTACCTGGAAGCGTTTAAAAACAGGGCCTTCAGTGACATGATGTAGTGGTGGCCTTGGCCTTGGCCTTGGCCGTCCTTGGTAACGGTTGGACTTGATGGTCTTAAAGGCTTTTTCTAACCCAGTTGTTGGAATCGCTATACCTGGAAGCGTTCAAAAACGGGGCCCTCAGTGACATAGTGTAGTGGTGGCCTTGGCAGTCCTGGGTAATGGTTGGACTTGATGATCTTAAAGGTTTTTTCCAACCCAGTTCATTCTGTGATTTTACTGTTTTTTAGTTCAGTAATAAAGTATTTACTTAGTGACAATGTTACCTGTTTTATTGCTGTTATCTACTTTTCAAAGTTTGTTGTTTAAGGCACTTCTGGGCAGAGCTGGTGAGGAAGTTCCTACAGGAAATAGTTGTGTTATTGCATATTGAATACTTTCCTACAGTGCCAGGAGTTAAGGAGCTTTGCACATTTTTATGGATGTAGCATGCTGGGTGTTATGATGCTTTGGTGAGCTGGGACATAAAGGTCACTGATATACAGTGTCACCTACCAGATCACATTATGATCAAAGTTGTGGCATTGGCTCCAGAATCAGGTTCTGGACTGTTTTTGTTAAGCAGATATTTAGGAAAGAGGCTTCTTCACTTTAGTTCTGTGCACTTACATATCATTGAAAAAAAAGGCGGGTTTTTTTTGTTTTTTTTTTTTTTTTTTTAGACCTAACATAAATCATGAACAATTTCAAAAAAAATTTTGAGCTCTGCAGCTCTATTCACAAATCTGGTGCTTGTTTGAGCAGATTAAGTGTTTGAATGCAGTAAACATTGCTTAAAAGAAAAATCCAATATGTAATTACATATGCATATTGTTGATTTAGTTTATGTAATGTTTGAGATCTAGTACCTCAACATAAGATTCAAGAACTTGGAAGCTTATATTTCACTATCAAGGGTGGACATTGTGTGGGTAAGAACATCAAGCACACCAGAGACGAAAGCATGTAGACTCCTAGACTTACACCTTACCTTATGGTGGCTGCTGCATCAGCTAGCCTGAATTATTGTCTTTATTCAGCAGTCTTTCTTTAGAAAGTGTTTTTCTCTATGGGTATTAGATATGATTCTGTCACAGATTACGTCTTCCTGTTTTTCTTACAGTGGCTGCTGTTTCTAATTGCACAGTAATGGACTTTTGGTCCCCTTTGTTTTCTCCTTTCCCTTCCTCCTTTTCAGCTTCACTCTGCCCAAATAATCTGTAAGACTTTTCTTCTATAACATTTTTCTTTCACCCTTTTCTGTTAGCTGGCCCCATCTCCACAGTGCAGTAAGCCTGCAAGCTGCACTGTATCAAGGCTTTTGCTTCTCCTAAATGCTGTGATCTTCTGTTAATACATGGAGCACAGGCAAGCTAATCAGTTTTTGAAATGGAACCTGAGTTGAAATTGAAAATCTGGTTTTAACTACTTTAGGAAAGGTTTTTTTTGTTATATTATTGTCTGAAGCTTACATGTCATTAGAAACTGTTTCTGTCCAGGCTGGCAACCCCCCATGTCTCATCCAGGCATGCTAGTTCTCAGTCTCCAAGTCAGGAGGACTTTACTCCTCTCCCTTCAATCAATGAGCGTTTGGCTTTTCTCTGTCCCTCCCGGGAGCTGCTGGAATACTACCGCAAGGTGATCGCTGACTTTGATAGGGAGCATGAGGATTTGGTTAAAAGGCTGGAGAGATACAAAGAAACGTATGATGAGCAGGTGAGGAAAAGGGGTTTTGAACAATGATGGGCTACGTGTCCTTAAACAAACTTAATATTTTTCTTCAGTTGGAAATTCAGCACAGCTGGTCTTAAGATTTACCAGTACTGTGGTAGAACTGAGCTAAGAGGAAATAAATATATTTCAGGTTTTGATTGTGAAATTTAGCTGTTTGTTGTCCATGAAAGCAAACAGAAACAAGCCCATAGGATATTCCTCTATTCTTACGTTGCTATATTCACAGTGGGTTGTTTGTTTCTGTGTGTGTTTTGTTGTGTTTTTTTTTTTTTGAATTAAAGCCTGAGTTCAGGTATTCCGTTCCCATGTTGTTAAACTTTTCCCTTGTTTTTCATAGTGAAGAATGAGTGCTCTTTTGTTCAAATTTAATGGACCTTGAGATATAAATATAATTTGTTTCCCACACTAGAATTCGTAATCTTGGCTGCAGGCTGTTAAGCAGTATGCTTCACAGCAAATAAATGCAGATTTAAAAGAAACTCCAAAACCTACAAGTGTCTGCCTTTAGGAGGAAGAAGCCCTTACAGAATATCTGTAAGATATTCGGTGCTCTGATGTGCATTACAGCCTCCATCTGTCTAGGACTCTATCTAGGAGTAATCTTTGTAGTAGCAAATGGCCCTTTGGAAATAGTGATCACTTCTGGATTGCCTCCTGAACTACTAGCCATGCTTGAAGCAGCCTGAAAGCCCTCAGGAAATACAAGTTACTTTAATTCAACATCTGGGAAAAAGTGGCAGGTTCCAAACTAGTGCCTTCTCTTTTAGGGAATGGTTTTCTGAAAGGTTTTGACAAGAGTTAGAAAATCATTAATGAAATTTAGCGAGTAGCCAGATTTTTCACTACTAAGCCCTACAGATATTTTACTGTTTATTCTTCAGTAATTTCTTTTAAGAGTAAGTGCTGTTAGAAAGGCTTTATTAGTTTTTTGTTGATGTCAGACTCCCCATACCTGTGCCACTCTGGCCACCAGTGCAGAAATTCAACGACTAGAAACTGGAGACTCTAGCTTAGGTCTTGTTTGACTGTTTGTAGTGACAGTGATTCTCAGGGCTCTGAACTCCCTGTTGAAGCATTTGAAAACCTTTTTTCCAATACTACCCTCATCTGGTCAAATTTTGTCAGAGAATAAAATAATTCACTTGAACTGGCAGTTGTACCATACCAGTTACAGGCTCAGGGTACAAGCAGTTTAAGTTTGTAAGTGTTACCCAATGCTCTATATCATTTCAAGTACCTCATTCTCTCTACTCAGCACAAATTGCAGTGGGAAGTACGTCAGAGAGAAGAAGAGATTGCAGAGTTGCAAAAGGCTTTGAGTGGTATGCAAGTCTGCCTCTTCCAGGAAAGGGAACACGTCCTTCGGCTGTACTCAGAGAATGACCGGCTGAAAATCAGGTGCGTTGTCTCAGATGATGGGCTGGGTCACTGGCAGTAGCAATTGCATGCATAATGGTTTAGTTCTTATCCAGATCTGAAGGAGTGTTCAGAGAAGTAATTATGCCACATTTCCCCAGGAGGGATCCTATGAAATTTTAACAATCTTGGAGGTGGAATGTGGTCTGTTGGGCTGCTAAATATGTTTCCACTTATTAGTCCTCCTATTCCAGGAGCAGAAGTTGAAAATAGATTCAGATTTGAATTGTGAGTTGCTGGTTTGAATGTGGAGGTTCTGATTTAATCAGTGGTGGGTTGACTGTGGCTGGATGCCAGGTACCCACCAAAGCTACTCTATCTCCCCCTTCCTCAGCTGGGAAGAGGAAGGAATGAGAAAATACAATTAAAGGCTTGTGAGTTGAGATAAGGGCAGGGAGATCACTTGTTGGTTACTGTCATGGGCAAAACAGACTTGGCTTGGAAAAATTAATTTATTACTCATCAAATCAGGGTAGAGTATTGAGAAACAAAACCAAATCTTAAAAGGCCTTCCCCCTACCCTTCCCTTCTTTCTGGCTGTTGGGACCTCCATGAGCTGCAGGTGAGGACAGCCTGCCTCACAGTGGTCTTCACCATGAGCTGCAGGTGAATCTCCACTCCAGCACCTGGAGCTCTTCTGCCCCTCCTTCACTGACTTTGATGTCTGCAGGGCTGTTGCCCTCACATATTCTCACTTTTCAGCTGAAGTTGCAGTTTCCTTCCCTCTGCCTCCCATTCTTAAATATGCTATCCCAAATGGACTACCACTGTTGCTGACGGGCTCAGTCTTGGCCAGTGGTGGGTCTGTTTTGGAACTAGCTGGCATTGGCTCTATCGGACATAGGGGAAGCTTTTATAAGTTTCTCACAGAAATGGGCCATGTAGCCCCACCTGTTACCGAAACCTTGCCATGCAAATCCAACACACAGACTTTGCGACTGCCTGGGAAAATGTCATTTCTTGGTCCTAAATCCACCTAAGCTCAAAAAGAAAATACAGACCAAAGCAAATAGTTCCCCTCACTCTATGAGATTATGTTGACAGCTGCTCCTTCTTAATGCCATTTAGTTGGTGAACTGGAAAATAATCTGCTGTACTGGACTAGCTGCCAGTGGCAGAGGGGTTCCTAACCTTCTTCAGAATATTTGTGGGTGATAATACCAAGTTTTCTGTTAAAGTTTTAAGAACCTAAGTCAAAATGTATGTTGGAGTGCCCTGGCACTTTGCAAGGGTTTGACGAAAAGTCTGATACTGCCCTTAATGTAGTTTGCTTTAAAAACAATGGACACTTACAATCTATTGAATTAAGTAACTGAGAGGATTTTAGATAGTTCATAAATCTGGAATGCAAATTCTTTCCCGTCATATGTTATTGCTGTATTAGCCTATGTAGAATTGTCCTATTTGAAAGGAGGAATGTTCCCCAATGCCAGTGGAATTACTGGTCTTCTTATTGTGTCAGTGACATCAGTAATGTCTTTGGGAGTTGGTTTTGGTTTTTTTTGTTCGTTTTTTTTTGTGTTTTTTTAACCAATATTCTCAAGCTGCAACAGTTTGGAAAACTTGTGAGCATTAACAAGTAAACTGAAGAGCAGCATGTCACAATGTCTTGATGTACTTAAAAATAACAATGTGCTGACCACTTTCTTTGAATTCCAGGGAACTGGAGGATAGAAAAAAAATTCAATATCTCTTGGCTTTAGTGGGAACAGACAAAGGAGAAGTTACATATTTTCACAAAGAGCCTCCACATAAGGCAAGTTCAGTGTTTCCGTAGAACTCTGCTTTTGATTGTAACATGAAGATGTATACCCCAGAGGCTGACCACAGACCAGATCTGTTCTGCAAGTCAAAAGTTGATAAATGAGCTCAAAGCAGGGAGGGATCTGTAGTTCTGTAACAACATCGAGTTTTATTATAGCTCCTGACAAATAGTTATACTGGTTTGTTATAGCTACTGGCAGGAACAAGCACACTGGAAGTAGGTCCTCTTAGCACTAGTCCCTTTCTACCTTCAAAACATACTTCCAAATCAGCCTCCTAAATGTCAGATAGGAGTCTGAAGCCATCTGACAAATGGTTGTTGAGAAATTGGAAAGAACATCACAAAGAGAAAAAGAAAAAGGAAGTACAGGAAAAGACCAAGTGCAGTGTTTGAAGATCAGCTGTCTCAGAGGACCTATCTCTTAGGGACTCAGTAAAGAATAACAGCGTTGAGGTTGCTGCAGCAATTTCCTGGCAGAAGACTGCAGAAAAGCTGTCCCCTCTAGGCAAGGCTGTATCATCTATTTCAAAAATAGATTAAATTCAAAAATTGATTAAATGGTAGTGCAGTGGAACCTACTAAATCATGAATCACAAATGATTTGGACATACAGAGACTATGACGGAATGCAGGATTCATCTTGGAATATTTTGTGCAGAAAAATACTGAAATATATTGCATTGATTATAGTTGCTCCTCACCGCTCAAGCAGCTCAAAAATCTTGCAGAAGCGTAAAAATTCCCTGATACATGGTAGCTCTAAAATTAGGCCTGTTATATAGCATTTACCTCAAGATAAGCATTGGGGTTAGACTCCGTCCCTTCATGTTGTCCTGTTTTTAAGTGGCTTTTAGTACAATAGTTCAGTTGTTTCAGTAGTTTTATTGGTTAGCTTTTATCCCAGGCTTATTGTTTAGTAGCTTGAGTGAATGTGGTGATAAATCAAGCCTCATGTTTCTCTGTCTTGCTGTGGCAAGGAGGAGTATGAAGGCAAAACCAGCAATCTTGATCTTCACCTTCCTCTTCTCTCTCTTTACATAATGCTTCTTTTCCTGTTGAGGGTGCTGATTTTCATCCTAATGAAGCCATCAAAGGCAGGGTTACTTTCCAGTTGTTTTGGTTGGGGGGAAAAAGGCAGAAATGGCAAAACTCAGGCCATGATAAAGGAAATCTTCATCATGGACATTACACTTGTTCAATGTCTTACTTGTCTTGTAGAAGGAGTAAGATGTTCTTCTGGATATCTTGTTTTACTCTAAAGTTTGTTCTTGACTGTTGCAACTTTGGAGAAGTCAAATGTTCAATACATATCTAATCTTGTTTCTGTAGGTTACTGTTCTGCAAAAGCCAGCTAAATCCAGAGTATCACATGAACAAAATGACGCTTCTGGAACAGGTACCACACCAAGCAGATTAACAGCAGCTCAGCTGTTGATGCTTGTTTCTCTGTGTGTTTGTGTCCGGTATGCCAAAATAATTCTTTACTGTGAATACTTTGGTATAGCTCCATTAAGTTCCCTGAATGTATCAGTGTTGACATATGTATGTGTGCAGTACTTTTAGCTTCCCTTCGAAATCTTTTAAAATAACCTGACCTGGTTCTCATGTCTGTTATCTGCTCAGCTAAGGAATAGGTTGGTATGACTGTGGAGTGCTTGTTCTGGAACTATGCAGGTACCGATTGGGTAGACACCCTTAGCCTCAGACATTCCAAGGTGTGAATTCTGCCTGCCTTTAGTGCAGACAGTAATGTGGGTCCATATGCCTACTTCACTGATTTTCTAAAGAGCTGCCTCTTCCAAATTAACTGAAACAAGCTAAGAAGCTCAAAACTTATTCAAGGCTTGATGCTTGTGCAGCTCTCTCATCTGCCTATTCGTCATTTATTTAAGAAAATTTAAGTTTGCTTTCTGTATATGCCAAGAAAATTAGTAGGTTGCCTAAATACTGTGGTGGGATAGTTTAGGATAAATGTAAGTGATCCCTGTAAGTTCTGAAACATTTCTTCCATCTAGCCCTCCTGGAAGTCCTTGTGAGCCTTTTCCTGCTCTTGTAGGCCTGCTAGAACATATATTTCATGCTTGGAAAGGTACTGCAGATAGATTGGAAAACCTCTTTCTACTTCTGTTAAATTTTTACAATAGGCGCCAAGAGGAACACTTCAATACCAGCAGCAAAAGGCGAGAAACCAGAAAGTCCTGAGAGGTATCAGAAAGATACTCAAACACTTCTACTTCAGGTAACAACATTTGCTAACCAATGGATGTAATTCATGGCTGTCCAGGAAACTGATAGACAAATTATGCTGTCTGCTTGGATATGATGTAGACATACCCATTTTATCAGGCTGCACATCTTACTATGGATTCCCACTTTCTGTGAGTTTACTTAGCTGTTTCTTTGTGATGAATGTAGGCTTAGATTTGAGAACTTGGGTTTGATTCTGGAAGCTTCACATAAGCAGATGTTCCAGTAATGTCAACTGGAATGTTTTGCCCTTAAATATATAAGGTATCATTGATGTTATCTCCCATAGCTTGATTGTGACTCTGAATTTACATTACACCACAGATGATCTGCAGGGTTGGGTAATTTGTGGAAGTTTGACAAAAGCCATGTGTCTGAGACAGAATTAGGCTGCCCCAATAAGATGCACTAGTGCAATGAAATGTTCTCTTTGCTAGACTTCAGTGAAAGATAAGGTGTAGATAGCATGACAGAATGGAAGACAAATATACAGAATCATGAACTGGGGAAGATACCAGAAGCTGTCTGTAAAGCCTGAGGAAGAATGGCTACAAAAGCAAATTAAAGAGCAAACTTGTACAGCAGATAGATACCTTTTGAAATTATCATTATTTTTTGTTCAAGGGCAGTGGTGACTGACCCAGTGGCCAGTTAGCTGTCTAACATTTATGTTGGAGCAAAAGCATCACACAAAATTGTTATAAAAATAAGTGATCTAAATACACTCCAGGCTTTTTCAGATAGTTTCTTACACATAAGCCAGATGCATGTTTTTTAATTACTTGTTCCCATTTGTCTCCCTGCCTCTGTGCCCTAGATCAAGATCCTTGGTGTCCCTCTCCTTTGCTCATCGCCTTATTTACATCTAGTAATTTCTTCTGGTAAAGTGGTTGGTTTTGTTCAGATGTGGACTGCTGCCTTCCTAGAACTTGGGTATTTTCATATCACTATTTAACCGGAAGATGGTAGCATAAGGACAGAAGTGTCTCTGCATATTCCACAGGATTTGTCATGTTTGTGTGCAATCTAAGTCTTTCCATTTTTTTTTTTGATCTGCTGTTGCTGTTTATAATATGCATGTCTAGCCTATAGTGTGATTTTTATTTTTTTTTCTTAAGTGTTATAGTTGTTTGAACTGCTTAACATCAAAACAAAAACATAATTGTGAGAAATTAACATTCTCAAAGGCATTATTGGGTAGGGTCTTTGATCTGACTCCTCCAAGATTTGAGAGACTTGCATGGACAGGAGCAGTGGTGCTGTGAGGTCTTATTTAGTAATGTCTTTGCTCATTCAGGTGGAGGCCCTGCAAGCTCAGATAGAAGAACAGACACGATTATCCAAGGAACAGGTTGAGGCACTGTTAGAGGACAGGCGGATTCACATGGAGGAAGCGCAGGTCCAGCATCAGAGAGACCAGGACAAGATCAAAACTATAACAGATAAGTGAGTGTGAGAAAATGATCATGATACAGTTATGAGATGAGAACAATATTTGGGCTTTCAGTATGTTGCTTTCTGCAGCAGGCAGAAAAGCAAATTATGCAGCCATCTATTTGGTAGTGTGTGTGTGGAAGAAGGTGAATGGCGTAATATACATATTAAAAATTTTATCACATTGGAAGATTATCACTTCTTTCATTAGAGCTAAACTCATTAGGAAAGTACCTTTTTCTTCCATGCTTCTTCCAATTTGCAATGATGACTTGGGAAATTAAGGTAGGAACTAAGTTAATTAACTCCACTGGGATCTCTTTTTACAGACTCCATAAAACTCAAAATCTCTTATACGAGAGTACTCGTGACTTTCTCCAGCTCAAATTTGATGCCCGAGCCAATGAGAAAGCATGGATGGCAGAGAAGGACAGTCTTTTGAGGAAACTTGACAAAAAAAGGGGTATCAGCAAGGATCCAGGAAGAGAGAAGCAGAGAGATACCAAGAAGACACTTCAAGCAGATGATGGAGCTTCGAAACTCCACAGCCGAGAACTAAAAGTAATTTGTTTTTTAGTCTAGGTAGAGATTCTTTAACAGTTTTTTTTTTTTACTAGAAAATTGCAAGCGTCTGGGTTTTTCCAAGGAAAGCACTCGCTTGCAACTGTGTCAAAGCTATACTGGCTTGCCATGAGTTATGTTGTTGGCAGTAAAGTGAAAAAAACCTTTCCTGTCTCAAAATCCACACTGCTTGCAAATTTCAGATCAAATATATAGTTAGGATTTATGGTAGCACTTCACTGTCAGTTTCTTTTATGCCCAGGACAAATCCCTACTTCCCCAAGCCTCATGACACGTGGGCTGACAGTGCTTAACCTGCTTGTGGCGCAAGCCTTTCTTTTAGCTTAAATGCTCTCGGCTCACAAACTTAGAATGCAGTGTCTGTATCTCTCTTGCTGGAGTTGAGGGAGAGTAAGTCCTTTCAATTGATGTCCTCCAGCCCTTCCAGAGTACTCAGGACTTCTCTTCCACTTCTAGTATACATCCAGTGAGAAGCTGGGAGACCTACCCCTGAATGTAGATGCTTCTGAAATGAAGTACTGGGCAAGCAGCTGTGGAAAGAATTACAGCATTGGTTAAATATTAGTTTTAAGGGGGAAAGTAGAGTATTCTTTAACTGATGATGCATGGTCATGCCCAGCTGATAACCTATTGAAAAGAGTTTGGTAATGAAAGTGGTGGTAGAATATTGCCCTTACCTAGTTATTTCATTAGGTGTAGCTCCAGTTGTTAATTTTTGCCTGTCATATTGTCAGTCTATCACACTTGCTTTTCCAGAGCTGGGGAATTTTGTTAGCACTGGCTTTTGAGTTGATTCTTCCTGTTTCTCCTATGTCCTAGTCACTGCAAGAGCAGCTAATGCAGGAGCAGCGCCTATCAAGCATGTATAGAGAGCAGTGCATCACCCTGGAAGATGAGCTAGCGAGGATTCGTGAGGAAGGAGATGCTGGCAGAGAACTCTTTAAGGTAATTAGTCTGTAATCATCTGTTAGCTATGTAATGATCTTGCAGCCTTTATTTTGTATACCCTATTGAGCTTTCATCTCCATAGGAACGTTCAGAAAAGATGGTTAAGCGCCTGAAGCTGATGACTCAGCGATATGAGGCCTTGGAAAAACGTCGTAATATGGAAGTGGAAGGCTTCATGAATGACATTAAACAGCTTCGGCAGAAGCTGAAAGATGTAGAGAAGCAGCTTTTTAAGGTAATAGTTAAGCATATAGCATAACCATATAGCATAAGCAATAGCTGTGTATTTTTGTTGCAAGTTCTTATCTGATACCTGTAGTTCACTTGGCTGTCTCAAAATTATCAGACAGTAAAGTAGTTCCAGAAGTATATAGTATCATAGAATAGTTAGGGTTGGAAAGGACCTGAAGATCATCTAGGTCCAACCCCCCTGCCATGGGCAGGGACACCTCGCACTAAACCATGCCACCCAAGGGTCTGTCCAGCCTGGACTTGAACACTGCCAGGGATGGAGCATTCACAGCTTCCATGGGCAGCCCATTCCAGTGCCTCACCACCCTCACAGTAAAGAACTTCCTCCTTATATTCAATCTAAACTTCTCCTGTTCAAGTTTTAACCTGTTACCCTTTGTCCTACTACTACAGTCCCTAATGAAGAGTCCCTCCCCAGCGTCCTTATAGGCCCTCTTCAGACACTGGAAGGCTGCTATGAGGTCTCCACGCAGCCTCCTCCAGGCTGAGCAGCCCCAACTTTCTCAGCCTGTCTTCATGCGGGAGGTGCTTCAGGCCCCTGATCATCCTTGTGGCCCTCCTCTGGACTTGTTCCAACAGTTCCATGTCCTTTTTATGTTGAGGACACCAGAACTGTACACAGTACTCCAAGTGGGGTCTCATGAGAGCAGAGTAGAGGGGCAGGATCACCTCCTTTGACCTGCTGGTCATGCTCCTTTTGATGCAGCCCAGGATACGGTTGGCTTTCTGGACTGCAATCGCACGCTGAAGCCGGCTCATGTTCATTTTCTCATCAACCAACACCCCCAAGTGCTTCTCTGCAGGGCTGCTCTGAATCTCTTCTCTGCCCAACCTGTAGCTGTGCCTGGGATTGCTCCAACCCAGGTGTAGGACCTTGCGCTTGTCATGGTTAAACTTCATAAAGTTGGCATCAGCCCACCTCACAAGTGTGTCAAGGTCCCTCTGGATGGCATTCCTTCCCTCCAGCATTATCAACCGACCCACACAGCTTGGTGTCATCGGCAAACTTGCTGAGGGCGCACTCAATCCCACTGTCCACGTCACCAACAAAGATGGTGAACAAGAGTGGTTCCAGCACTGATCCCTGAGGGACACCACTTGTTACTGGTCTCCAGCTGATCATTGAGCCACTGACCACATCTCTTTGCGTGTGGCCATCCAGCCAGTTCTTTGTCCACCGAGTGGTCCATCCATCAAATTGATGTCGCTCCAATTTAGAGACAAGGATGTCATGTGGGACAGTGTCAAATGCATTGCACAAGTCCAGGTAGATGACATCAGCTGCTCTACCCCTGTTCATCAGTTCCATAGCCCCATCATAGAAGGCCACCAGATTGGTCAGGCAGGATTTCCCCTTAGTGAAGCCATGCTGGCTGTCACCAAGCACCTTGTTGATTTTCATGTGCTTTAGCATGCCTTGCAGGAGAATCTGCTCCAAGATTTTGCCAGGCACAGAGGTGAGTCTGACTGGTCTGTAATTCCCTGGGTCATCCATTTTCCCCTTCTTGAAAATGGGGCTTATATTTCCCTTTTTCCAGTCATTGGGAACTTCACCTGACTGCCATGATTTTTGAAATATAATAGCCAGTGGCTTAGCAACTTTAGTTGCCAGCTCCTTCAGGACCCATGGGTGGATTTCATCAGGTCCCATGGACTTGTGTCTGTTCAGGTTCTTAAGGTGGTCTGGAACCAGATCCTCTCCTACAGTGGGTGCAAGGTCTTCATTCTCACAGTTGCTGTGTCTGCCTTCCAGGACTTGGGTGGTGTGGTCAGAGCCTTTGCCAGTGAAGACTGAGGCAAAGAAGCCATTCAGAGCCTCAGCCTTCTCCAAATCCTGTGTAGCCAGTTCTCCTGATAGCTCCCAGAGAGGGCCCACGTTGTCCTTAGTTTGTCTTTTATTTGCAGTCCTGCTCAGTACGAGAGGAACCGCAGCTTCAGACCCCTGGTGCATGCACTTGGCTGAGGAGCCACTGGCACAAGGCTACCATCTGTGGGCTTACGATTGAACGCCTCTAAGTTAGAATCCCACCTAGACGCTTGATGTTGTGTCATCAGTCACTCGAGATTGACCCAGGAAGTGACGGTCTTGTTCAGAATGTGTGGGTTAAAGCTCTTCCTGAATCTTCGTTAGCAAAGACAGGCCTTCCTCATAGGAGAAGGAAAACTCCTGTCTTCAAACCCAGGCAGATGAGCTCATCTAGCATTATAAGGGCTTCCATCAAAGAGAAGGACACTATTACAGAACCTATGACCTGTGGACTTCACTGTCACCGTCCTAGCTAGCTAGGCCGTGGCAGTTAAATCTCAGGTGTAAAGGGTAGGGCCAGTTCTGCGCACGCTGAGCCTCACCTAAAAAATCCACTGCGCAGGCTGGAAGGGCTTACTCTAGCTTGTCTGTATGGACAGGCGAGGGTTGAAACAGTAGCTGACAAGGTGCATGGGTAGCCGCAGATCGAACCTTGCATGCAGGCTGACCAGCACATGGGTAGCTTGAGACTGCACAGGAGATGAGAGTCCTGGTCGGACACTTCCTGATTGCCTAAGCACCCTTTTTTCCACCCAGATTTGCATATCCCACATGCCCTTGGTCATCGTGCTTGTAGTAAGCATGGTTAAAGCCCTTCCCAAATTTTCACTCGCCAAGCCATCAATCAAACCTATAGAATTCCTTCTTGTTATCTTTCACATCCCTAGCCAAGTTTAATTTTAACTGGGCCTTAGCTTTCCTAACGTGTTCCCTAGTTTCCCGGACAACACCCCTGTATTCTTCCCAAGCCGCCTGTCCTAGCTTCCACCTTTTATAAGCCTTTTTTCCCCTGTTAAGTTTCCTCAGCAGCTCCCTATCCATCCATGGAGGTCTCCTGGCCCTCCTGCTGCACTTCTTTCTAGCTGGGGTGCCACACTCCTGAGCTTGTACCAGGTGATCCTTGAATATCAACCAACAGTCTTGGGCCCCCCTGCCTTCTAGGGCTATATCCCATGGAACCTTACTAAGCACGTTCCTGAAGAGGCCAAAGCCTGCTCTCTTGAAGTCCAGGGCAGTGAGCTTGCTGCACGCTCTTCTCACTGTCCTGAGGATCTCTAATGCGACCATCTCATGGTCACTACAACCAAGGCTGCCTTGGAGCATCACGTTTCCAGCCAGCCGCTCCCTGTTGGTGAGCACAAGGTCAAGCGTGGCACTTCTTATCGGCTTCTCTATTACTTACAGAAGGAAGCCGTCTTCCACACAATTGAGTAACCTCCTGAATTGCTTAGAAGCCTTCTGGATTGCTTAATATCCTGCAAAGAAAATTAGATAGGTTTTCTTTCTGAGGGCCATAGTATTTGGGTTTATTCCAGTACCAGCTAGATCATTGATCAAAGCGTTGTGGACGGTCTGTTCCTTTGAGATCTCATTTGTAACTCTGCAAAAATTGCTGTGGAAACAATGGCTAGAAGTTGAAGCTATGTACTCTCTAGTAGCTTCTAATGTGTAGATGAACATAAGAACAGCTTAGAAGGTAAGCCACAGCATTGATGTTGCTTGAAGTTTAGGATGAGATATTTATTTAAGACATGCTTGAGAGGATGATCTAGGCGTAGCAGACTCAGGAGTCTGGCAGTGCCACGGATTCACTTGTTTTCTATACTTTTGGTGCACAGTTCAGTTTACTTAGATTAATGCATTTGTCTTCTCTAAAGAAGAGACTTCTCTAAAGGCTTCCATTTCTTTCTTAATTGTTTTGTTGAGCTGTGGGCTTTTAAACTTCATTCTGTAAGGATTAAAAAGCATATGTGAATGGGGAAAAATTGCTTATGATAACTTTACTGCAGATCTGTATATTTTGTAGCTGTGAATGTGCTTGTATTAATTTCTTTATACTTTTAACCACAAGAGGGCAGAGGAACAAAATACTTGATGGATGTCTCCAGAGTGATCTTTAAATCCTTCTCATCGCTTGCAGTCAAAATGACTACAAGTGACTAAATTACCTGGCTTGCGTATTAAACTCTTTGACCAAGAACTACATGATGACAGCGAGACACCCTAAAGGGCCGAGGGGAAAGCGGGCTTTGAGAGCAGCTTCCAAGGCTGTGCTGTTCTGCACTGAAAATTACTGGGGTGGCATACTATCCAGTTCCAGGGTGACAGGAAATAGCAGTCCTGGCTAGCTTGCCATCAGGAATTCTGATTAACTAGCAGCTTTTCTTCAATTCTGTATGGGCTGTATGGCATGGCATTGAGACTAGGTGTTGTACTGAAACTGCTCCTGAATCATGCATAGAAGGCAGCAATTTGGCCACAGCATTTAAACCACCTCTAGTAGTCTAGGAGTCAATGGGTTATGGGTAAACTTCTGAGGAGATTTCTTCCTTATTAGTAATATAACAACATGGTGCACCTTTATATTGGTGATGTGCGTTAGCGTAGTGATAGTAGCTTAAGCACCCTCTCTACTAGCTACAGAGGGTCTCCTTTAGAGTTTTCTCCCTCATATCACCATCATAATACTCTTAAATTATCTTCTCTGCAGCTTTTGTTTTTCTTAATCTGTTTTTCTTTTACTTTTACTTTAGGTGACTCTGAATATGGGACCAGACCAGGATCTTGCAATTCTACACGAGGTCTGCCAAGGAAACAGACTAACTCGTAAAATTCAAGGAGAACTGAAAAACTTAAAAGCAAAAATCTTTGTCTTGGAGAATAAATTACGAGTCTGCTGAAGCAGAGGTATAGCTGGCATCCTTGTTTTAACAGTGGGACACTGGTAGGCTAGAATAGTCATATGTGAGAACAGCTCCTGCCTGTCTGTTTCCTGGCATCCAGTGACAGAAGGCTTGAGGATATCTGAAGTTATTGTCATAGCATTGCACATAAGCCATTCTGAATCTGCCAGATTATTTTTCTGCTGAGAGATGGCACCTGATAAGGCTGACGTAGAAAGTACATGATGACTATTATATATATTGGGAATATGACTTCATCTTACCTTTGTATCTGGTAGTGGTCAGTGTATACTGGCCTTCAACTTTCTTTGGGTCATATTATGAACCGCGTATATGGTTATAATAAGATAATCACGGAAGGATCTAGTTCAAGATCTGAATTGCTTGACTGACCTTGTCTATGTGAGAAGCGGCTTTTAAAATGGTTTAAATGATTAATGGTTTGGTGCTTAGGCACTTCAGAATGTAACTGGAAATTTTCTTTGAAACAGACCACATATCTAAAGTATATATTGAATTTACATCTGACTTTCCCCTCGAGTGTATAACTGTTTTAAAATGGCTTCCCTATTGCTTGGTTCTAAGTTGATTGGAACAAACCTGACTGATTTTAATATGGTGGGAAAAGATAATCTGTTACAGAACCAGCAACATCTACGCTTACTTTAAATGTTGGGGGTGAGGGAAATACTAAAGTGTCATCTTCTCATCCCCTTTCTCCCAGTTTATTTTAACACACAGAGGAAGCCCACAATACAGGGCATACAGTATCTTACTTAACCCCATGGTATTATCTGTCTTTTTAGCTTTAAACGATATCATGGTTACATACTGACAAATCGTGGTCAACTTTTGCCATAGCAGCTGTTGCTGCTGAACTGTAACTGAAATTGGGATGGGAGAGCAGGTGCTAGTTGCTACGTGATAATTGTAACTAGCTGTATGATAATTGCCTTCATACCAGACATCAGGACATCACAATGCTAGAAAACAGATGAAGTCATGAAAAGGGTTACAACATGACTTCAGCCTAGTTTATAATTGTGGGTATTGATGGCTTTTACTGTAGTATCAGCAAATCTTGTCCACCTCATAGACTGAGAGCACATCTGTGTTGGGAAAGGTATTTCAGTGCCTCTTTCTACTGTCAAATGTGACAGAAGCAGAATAATAATTAAATTATACACCTACAGGCTACCCGCACTTCCTTTCTTGTAGGGAAGAACTTAGTGTGTAACAGCAGACGGTTTCTTTTGAATGTGGTAGTGACCACAGAGAAACTCCTTCAGCATCTGGGAGAGGCACATGTGCAAAAGATGTTCTTGTGCTGTCAGGATTTGGAGAAAGAGCTGGTTTTATAGCACCAGCTAAAACGTTGCAGGAAGGGAAATTTCCTTACAAAGTCATGGCCCACTTTAATTGTGTATCCTTTTTGTGACAAGCTTGCTGTCCTGTATGGTCCTGTGCGTTGGCATGTATTTTTGTATGTGTTCTTGAGGTCAGATTCATCACAGACAGACTGATGTGGCTGATAGTCTGTACCTAGATGCTCAGATACTACTACAGGTTATGAGAGGCTGTTTTAAAGTGTGTTGCACTGATTGGTTTAGCTGAAAATGCTGAACTGTTCAGAAACTGATTCATGCACAACTTGGGTGCCAATGCTATGTGGACAGTCAAGGTTTATTAAATAATGCTACCCATCACTTAGTCTCACTATTTGTTGACTAGTAGTTTCTCAGGTAAGTCTAGCTAATTGAAGTGAGTTTGTGTGTGAAATAACTTGCTATTGGTTTGAAGATAAGATATCAAAGTTATCACAGGTCCTGGAAGGCTACTTCTGAAAATTGCTACGTAATGAAGTATGAGTCACTTATTCAGCAGGATCAGCTGGTGGGAAGCTGGCAAGAAGGTCTCTTGATCCTATAGAAATAAATGGGTTTGCGTTTATTTTCAACTTTTCCTAGCTAAAGAATTGCCTGTGAAATTACATCTTCCTCATTTGAAAGCCATGAAACATGTCTAGATAAAGGCTGCAGCTGAGATTCAGGTTTGTAAGACTGGGAGGAAGTACTGGGGGAAGAAGGATGTAAATATTGAATTTCCTGTGTCCCTTACTAATATTCCTTATTAATTGAAAAACTGAACAGGTAAAACAATGTTTCTAATATCTGCTGGTTTGTCAAAATGAAAGTGCAGTGTGAACTTCATCCTTAATTTGTCACTTCCTATTTAGGGGGGTGGTGGTAGGGGGAATTATGGTATTAGTGATCTGCAAATCCATTTCATTTGGAAACTTGACTGTTTGCCTAAGGGCAGGAAGAGCAAAGTATTGTACATGCTTTTTCTGTGTAACATCATGTGATCATGTGAAATACTGCTTTATGTTGCCAAAACAAATGTGGACCTTCAAGCCAAGAACTGCTTTAAAAAGCCAAGTGCTTTCTACCACTGACAACTAATCTTTAAGATGTCAGTAAGAAATTATTGGCATTTCTGAAAGGGTTTAATGGGAAAGGTTCCAAGACCTACAAGACAATTTTCTTCCACGATTTTTGGGTAGAAAACAAAAAATGGGATATATTCCAAAGACTGATCAGCTTTTTTTTTTTTTTTTTTGTGAATTTAAGTTAGTAATGTGTGACTTGCATCATTTCAAGACAACTAAATGTCAGGTTATGTATTTTGAAAGATCTCCAAAATGGCTGATTCTAGGAATATGGAGACTCTCCTACGGGGGATTAGTTATTTAGTGTGATCCAAGATACTTTATTGTTGTGTAGCCTTATTTAGGTAAGGAAGGAGTGCATATATTTCAGAAAGGATGTTGAAATACTGGGTAAGGCACAGAACTACTGAAGATTCAGCAGAAGAGAAGCAGTTGTGCAAGAGCTTGTATTGCATTAAGAAGACTGATTAATATACATATACCGTGCAGATGAAAAGTTACCAAAGGCCTCTCCCAGCAGAGGAAGGCTGAGCAAGAACTGGTAGCTTGAACCTGAAATTAGTAAAAATAGGAGCATGCATTTTTAACAGGAAGGTTGTGCTTTTCCCCTCATTATAAGAAACTGTGGAGGTAACAAATTCTCCCATCTCTATCTGCAAAGCAAAAAATTATTGTACCTCTGGGGAAGGTAGCTTGTTTTAATAAGTTACAGGATTTGACACCTTAGAACTTAATGAAATATTATGATATGAACTAACAGGAAATCATTTAATAGCTCCTTCTGGCTTTAAACCTTTGATTAATTTATCTGTGATATTGGTATGAGTTTTTCAGCATACCTGCAATTGCTTTAATTATAGGAATGAATGCTGCATCAGCTCACCTACACAGCAAGGGTACACAAGGTAAAAAGAAAGTAAATAAAACCTTAAATCTCTCATGATCTTCCTATACCACACCTTGCAGTAATTCCTAAATTAATTGACACCGTGTGCTTTGAAAAGCAGGTTAACAGTAGCCATAGTTCTGATAGCTGTTGGACTAAAGCCAAATAGTAGCACTGTATGTACTTGTATGCCATGGCTGTACTTAAATTGCTTACGTGAGTAATAGTATTGATGCATAAACACAGATGTTTTACCAGTATGGATGGACTCTGGGCAGCTTGATATTCTGGAATTGGAATGGCTCTGGGTGTATGCCAGGAAGTAATTCTTTGATATTTCTGTCTTTTTTTCTATGATATTTTGCCTTTATATTTCTAAGTTATTTTGATTTGTAAGAAATATCTATCCCCTTTAATCCCAAAACAGTTACTTCTTAAATTTGCAAGTCTAGATGTAGACATACGTAAACACACTTTCTAGTGCTTGGACTGGGATTATGTACCGAAATATACTTGGATACAGCATAAAAAGCATGAGAGGTGAAAGCTGTGATGATTCCTTTTGGCTGCTGTTTTTCATAGGGTCTAGGCACAAAGAACAAAGTTTGTTCTGATTCTTACGTTGCATCAGAAGTATAGGACTTTGTCTGAAACCAGGCTGTCAGAGGTAACTGGCGTTTAACCCACCAGCAGGAAACGTTTCTTCTACGACTGAAGTATTTGAGAAGAGTGGGATGGACTTTTGGTGTTTCCCTTGTAGCACCAAATGAATAGTTTACAGAAAGGGCAGCTTTGGATGTGAGCTGGAGTGGTTGCTCTTCACATAAGCTCCAAAAATACAGCTTTATAAATGGCTCAACAGGGCTGACTATTCATACTAACTACATTTCCTGTTTTGAGAATTGTAATGCTGTTGCATTGTGGACAGATGATGTGTGTAAATACGGATTATTTGGTTCTATTCTGAAAACCCAGAGAGGGTTCCAACACAGAAGTGTATCAATGTTAAAGCAAGACAGTTATTAACTATGCAGGCATGAAGGGTTTCGTTGTTGGAATATGTTTGTTTTGAATAACAAAAAAGCTCTCAATTTACCGTGGTGAAGAATGTCTGGGATGTTCTCCTGTATTGATTCAGAGGCTAAATGGCCTTTATGTCACACTAAACATTTATCTCAGGGTAAAGTCACTTCTAAACAACCCGGTAAAACAGAGTTTTCCTCTTTGGGACTAGCTTGGGCAGATTGAATTCTGCTCAGTGTCATCACAGGGAGAACCGCACCATGTTGTGTTCTGTAGTCGCCCTGATAAAATGATTGTGGCACATCTTTGGAACTTCTTGAAACATAAGGATGATGAGCACAGGCACTTAAAAAAAACCAAACAAGTGAACAAGTGCTGGTACTTTTAATGATGGGGGAAGGAGGAAATTTAGGCAAAACTTCAGTCAGTTTAGAAAACATGTATTTCCAAAAGGATCAAATATGTAGATATTTCATTATGGTCAATGTTTAAACCCTGAAATGTATTTTGAAAGTCTTTCAGCTCTAAGTATATAAAAGGTCTTTTTCTGGAAGTGCTCTTGATAGTGAGAATTTGGCAATTCAGGGCAGTTTGTGGGGCAGGACCTGCAAAAAGAAGATGCTTCTAGAGGTGCTGGATGGGGTTTGTGTAAACGCATGTCCTCTTTACAGCTGGAAAGGAAAGACAGCCATGTCAATGCCATTTTATCTGGACAGCTGAGGTTTAATACTCTATGGAGTTAAGCAGTGAAAGTAGAGAATCATGAGTGAGGCTTCCCACCATGCAGGTACATTGGGGGGCATAAGCATGATGATGTCATCCAGGGCCTTAATGAAGGGAGTGTAGCTTTGTGAGCAGCAAAAGCCAGAGGAAACCTCAAACCCCCAATCAGGCCAGTTCGCATGATGTTGGTGGAGTAACTGTATTAGTAGAAACCACATTGCTGATTAGTGTGTTAGCAAAACACATTATGTCAGTACAGCCTAACTGGGCAAGAAGGTCCTTCTGCTCGTAGCCTGTTAATTGTGGATCTGTACTGATCTCTTTACTGCCATGTTAGATGTCAGTGCTGACAGGGTTTTTCTGGGAGAGCTCCCCCAATAACCCCTTTTAGAGCCCTGCCCATTCCTGAGGAGCCAGAAGGGGAAATAATAGGGAGCTGTGTCTTCAGAGACTGGCTCTTCCTCTTAGAAACACTTCTGTCTTGGAGCTGTTTGGATGATGAGTGTTCAGTTGAAGTCATTGTTTGTGCTTCAGAGCATAGCTGAGGTCAAGGAGAGGGGTGTGGAGCTGCCGGGCTGGTGGACGCGGGGGACAGTTGGGTGCCTTTGGTGTAGAGCTGGTAATTAGTGTTAAAAGGAAAATTACACAAGAAGAAAGAAGGGAAGGAGCAAGTGGCAGATAATTGAACCTTTGGGGAGCCTACAGAGAAAGGATGTTGGCACAGAGCTAAAAGTAATTTACAAAACAGAGAAACAGTTGTTAGATAACTAGAAGCAAAAGCGTAACAAGAAGAATCAGGGATGCACAGAGGCCTAGCTAGAGAGGGGAGCTGGAAGGAACAGGAGATGCTCGTCCTAAAGTGCTGTGCTCATACCAAAGGCTGCTTTTATCACGAGGAAAAATAACCAAAACAGAAAATAAACAACCCAAATAAAGCACAGATTACTCCAGTTGGCTCATGGGGCAAATCGTCACTTTCTTTGAAGCAGGTATTTGGGGTAGGCCAGGAGAGGTGCATCCTGAAGGAAGAAGCCCTCTGCCCAGTGTTCCGGGGTGGTCCGTCAGGGCCATCAGCACTGCCGGCTCCCTAGCTGGGTCAGTGGAATGTGACACAGGCCAGGCTTCTCCACCGCCTGCTTCCGGCTCCCTTCCTGCCCCCCTCCCTGAGGGGGCTGACTCCAGCATATGGGATTATTATTACAAGCCATAGTTTCCAGCTCCTGCCGCATTGCACCCAGAGAGATGAGAGATGTGGAAGTCTGGGCACGCGCTCGTGTGGTGAGGCACTTGAAAAACTGGGAATACAAGAATTGGGGTAAAAGCATTTATCTTTGAGGTTTTTAAAACAGTGCTGTAAGTGATAATCTTACTTCTGGGCATTAGTGCTTTCTACAGTGAGTAAGTGGTCCAAAATAAGTTATTTTACAGTGTAAGGCTATTCAGATTCCTCCTTTCACTATTTATTACACATCCAGATCAGTTTTGTTCCTTAATATTGTTCTACTGTAACTATATCATGAGAGAGATATTAACATGCCACACTTTCTCAAGCTTTTTCTCCAGAGACAACAGCTTTTTTATAACTTCATCATAGCACAGATCTATCAGGAAAAAGATGTTCCTTTACAAGACAACATTACTACCTGTTAGCCTACAATTTCACTCTCCCCTTCCCCCTATTTTAGTGCCATGTTTACAAAGAAAAATGTGCTTACTTATTTTAATGTGCAACAGTTTCCACAAAGTGCAGTTGTCATTTTGCAAACTTAAGGTTGTCCATTAAAAAATGCAGATGACTTCCCACTAACAATACATCATTTCAATTCTCATTCTTGAAATGGCAAATGAAGCTTCACTTAGATCTGTATTTATTACACATTTTCCTAGCATTTTAACCCCCCTTTTTCTTTTAACAAATGTGAAAATCTTGGTTTATTTCTCTCATGCTGGAAAAAGACCCAAACCAACACTCCACTGGCCTTCAAGTTTTTAGCCATATGGATGCCAGTGTTGGCTGGGTATTGTCATTCTTTTCTGTTTGCACCAGAGGAAGTAGCCCCATGATTCAAGCATGGGTTGGTGCCACCTGCAGCTCCAAGAAGGAGGAATGCAAGTGTTGCATCCCGGAAAGCTGCAGAAAGGACTTTGTCCCTCCACAGCCCAAGGGCAGAGTTACTCTCCAGCCTCCTCTGCTGTGGGATTTGTTCCACTCTTGAGAAACATCATGTCTTTACACCTCCACAGTGAAGTTATAACGTTCTCCAAATGCACTTTTACAAAGTAAGAAAAGTCTTCCCAACACAAAGTTTGTAGGGAGATGGATCTGAAACCTTTGTGAGATGTCCAGAAAAAGGAAGCCTATTGTCTGTCTCTCCCTCCCCATGTGTGACAGGTAATCCCAGGGGTTCTAGAGCACTGTGAACACAGTATTTGGCAGTTCACGCCAGGGACTGCAGGTGCAGCTTCTGCCCCTGGCCATGTACCACTTAGGATGCCAGCACCCTGCCAATGCTAGCCTGTCCCTGCTGGGGCTTGTGCCACTCCACTGTGGCCCACCATGCCATTCACAAGGCCTCTGGCACCTTTCCTAAAGCCCTTTGCTATGAAGGGAAGTGCTTGGTGCCATGCACCATGCATGTTTGGGAAGAGACTGTTGCTCTGGATCAGCTCCCCAGGTGGATGCAATCCTGTATCCTAGGCAGCATCATCCAGTTTTCTTTCACCCAGGAGGAATCCAGCCTGCCTCCTCTGAGAGGGCTTGACGATGTGAACCCTCCATCAGCATGGAGGGCTGGGAGAGTCACTTTGAAAGTGTGATTGAGATACGGAATGGATACCGTAAGCACACTCAAGGAGCATCCTGGTCTTTATGGCGGTCTCCAACATTCTCTCTGCTGGGTCTGAACAGTGTAACATCACATCTAGCCAGCTGCATCTGAAAGCACATTTGGAGGCTTCATGTGACCTTTTCCTCCTGACCGAACAGAGCACTTTGAAGCAAACACACTTGTTGCACCAGGTGAAAACACTTAGATTCAGCTGTGTGTCACCGTGTGAATTTGAATCGCCCCGCTCTCATCCTTCCTTCCCTCTGTGCACAGGAGTTACCATCACCCGTCCTCTCACCCGAGGGATCCACCAACGCTCCCAGCGCTACGAAAACCGGCTTTGAGGAGGACTTGGAGCCGGGAGAGCGCGCTTGCCTCCTCCGCCACAGAAGCCGCTTTCCTGTCGCCTACGGCAGGAGCGGAGATCTGTGGCAGCGCGGGCCCCGCAGCGCGCTCAGGGACGGCTGCGTCTCCCGCTCCAGCTCCCGTCGCAGCGCCCGCCAGCCCCTAGAGCGGCCGGAGTGGGGATCGGTGCCGGGGCAGCCCCGGAGCCTGGGCTCGGCCCCCGCGGGGCGGAGGCAGGTGCGGGAGGCGGTGGCAGAGCGCGGCCGGGAGCTGCCCCCGCGGGGGCGCGGCACCGCCCCGCACCTGGGCCCGCCCCGCGGGGGAAGGGGTCCGCGGCAGCGCCTTGCGGTGCCCGTGCGGTGGCGGGAGCATGCCCCGGGGCGGCGGGGGTCGGGCGCTCTAAGCAGCGCCATGCGGGGCCGGCTGCTGGCGCGGCTGCGGCGGCGGCGCCGGGTGCTGCTGGCCCTGGCCGCGCTGGCTCTGGGGCTCTGGGCCGTTTACCTGGAGCTGGTGGCGGCGAGCGGCAGCGGCGGGGCTCTCCCGGACCGCAGTGAGTTACCCTGCGGGGCGCCGGGGGAGGCGGGGAGGGGAAGGCAGGGCGGGGGCCGTCCCGTCGCGTTCTGTCCCTCGCAGCCCGGCGCGGCCCTGGGCTCCCCCCGGCGCTCCGTCCGCTCGGGAGCCTGGAGCGGTGCCCCGGTCCCAGGCCGGCGAGGGGCGAGGAGGGGAGCGCCGCCGGCCGCAGCAGTGAGCGGCCGAGCGGTGCTGGCCGGCGGAGAGCCGCTTCCTGGGGAGCCGTCGGGGACGGAGGTGGGTTTTGTTCCTCGGGAAGGGGATGAGTGTTAGGGGGTTTCACTTCTGTGCCTTTGGCCGCTGGGGTCTCGCCCTCCGCTCTGTCAAGAGACCTGTCAAAACGTGACCTTGCTGAAACTGTTGTGCCCGGAGTCACGGCTTTGAGTGCCTCTGGTCCTTGGTGCTCTAGTGCAAACCTGGAAGGCAGCAGAGATGCTTTGAATACGGCTTTGGTGAGAGAAGAAGTGTATGCAAACGAGGAGGGAATGCATACCCTGGAGATGTGCACCGCTCGCCTAGTAACGAGTTCATTCCGTGCAGACTTCAAGGAGCACAGCAGGGATGGTGCTAAGTGCACCATCAGTTAGCTGCTTTTTTTTTTTCCGCGAAGTAGAGGAAGCCAGTTATTTCTATGCGTGTCATGCGGGGGTTTATGCTTCTCTTCTATTTTTCATTTACAGGAAAGTTTTGAATGGCCCAAAGTTTTGTAAAAGCCCATGATGTTGTTGCTGCTGTTTTTAAATATCAGTGCTTGGTGCCAGTCTAATTTTATAATAGTTTGTCAGATACACACAACCATTTAACTGTTAATGCTTTTCTGTATCTTGGTCCCTTCATTACACATTATAAGCCCCCTGATTCTTAGTGCCATGAGTCCAGCTTGGTTTCAGTCATAAAGCTTTAGACCCTGGTTGTGCAAGTTGCTCCATGAACATTTACTCCCACAAAGTCCATTACAGTACTTCAGCTTATCCATTTGTTCTGTATTATATGTGCTGTTATGGCTAAAACCAGGTTTATTGTTCCAGCAGCGTAAGAGATCTGATTTCTTTGGCTAGGATAAATCCTCTAGTTATAATCCACTTTTTGTGCCTGGTGGAATTAGCTGGGACATGAGAAGATGGGTTGCATCATGACTCTACTTGCCATTACACCTTTCATGCAAACTTCTTAGTGAACGCCACTTTACCAGTACCACCTGGAGATACTTAGAGAAGGCTGTAGAGATATGTAGTGGACTTGTGTGGTGCATCAAAGGAAGAAACCAAACCACATGGAGGTATTCTAAACAGTGGTTATACGGAGATATGAGGGGCTGAGTCAGGTGTTTGGAGACATCCAGCTGACCTTTCACTGCCAGCAATGCAAAGGGAGAGAGAGGAGATGAGAGAAAAACAGGCAGAGAGCATGAGGACAGAAGAGATGTGCAGGAGCAGATGACTTTTCTTATGAATTGAGTTCTTCCTCTTTGGTTTTAGATGGGGTTGTTTTTACATCTCTGTTATAAAAGTCATCCTGCTTTAAGACTGAAACTGGAAACAGTGACATGACTACGGTCACTACCAACTAAAACAGAACACGAGGAAAATAATTACATTATATTAAAGTTCAACTATGTAAGAGTCCAGATTCCCCCAAATCCACCAGTGACGTTGCTGCTCATTGCATGTGGAAAACATTTAAATGCTGCTGGAGAGAGTGGGAGCGTGAAACCCTCTGGCAGGCAGCTCTGCAGCATCACGAAGGGAGAGCAGCGTGCCCAGAGAGCTGAGGCTCTAAGGGCACTCTGGGCACTCAGCATCATGTTTTCCTGTCCTTCTGGCCAGTATCCTGGAGCCTGCCAACAGGAGGAAGGTTAATCTTTGACCCTCTCCACCCTTCTTCTTGCCCGAGTACCTCTAAGAGCCTGTTTTGTTTTAAGAGAAATCAGAAGTTGGAGTGAAAGACAAATAGTGTTTGTTTTCCTTTGGCTGTTAACACTAAGTCATGTTTTCTTCCCTGGAGACTGGGGCAGCTGTGTTTCTGACTCCACGTGGTGACTCTTTCCAGAGATCTCAGGGAGATGGTGCAGGAGGGAGTGACTCCCTGAGCAATTAATACTTTCCCCCTCTCATTTCTGCACTGTTTTCTGCTGCATGTCCCAAGTGGGAACCATAGGGTGAGTCACACCTGGAACCAGCCAAGAGCTACCACCTTGATGTACCTGATGCAACAGCCTCAGCAGTTAGTCTTGACAAAACACAGCACCTATTTATTGGGTAATTTTTCTGGGCAAAAGGTGAAGAGGCTCCATCCATTGTGGTCAGAAGCTGAATAGCTGCTGGGCATGGGAGATCTACAGGAGATCACGGTTTCCATCTCCTATGTCCGTAACACAATTTCTTCTTGCCTCCCTAAAAGCTCTTTGTAGAACAGCCTGGGTATGGAAAGCCAAGTATGTTTTCTTTTTCCAGAGACATGAGCCCTCCTCTTGGAAGGCTTAGGGAGGCACAGAAAGTACTCACTTTCCTCTCAGCCACTCAATGGGATGAAGCACAAGCACTGTGATGCCCCCATGCCACCCCTGCTCCTGGACCAGTGCTTTAGAGCAAGTCTTGAGGCATAATGGATGCTCCCCAGCTTTCTGCTCCTCTTCCCTCACCAGATCAGTGTGTGGCAGAGGAACCAAATGTCAGGTGGCCAGGGTATGGGATTTTGAGTAAGCGATGCTTAAAACTTGGGGCCTTGACTGTCTTCCCTTGATGTATGTGCACCTCTGCTATGGAACAAAGTTAAGCATATAAGTAAGTTTGAATGAAAGAGAATAAGCGGCCTAGGAGAATATGCTGTAACTGTTGGTACCCATTGGTTTCCGTGGTGCTGCATCACCATACACTGGGGAAGTCTATGGGTGTGAAGCTCATTTTGCTATAACATTGAAGTCAAAGGTTGAGGGAGCAGCCTGAGGTGCAGAATTCATGCTAGGTATACCACGTGTTGGGATTCGCATGTGCTTAAGTGGTCTGGGCCTTTTTCTAGCCACTGGGAATGGTTGGGATGGGCTGGACAGGGCCAGATAATAGTATGGGCTCTCACAAGTGACAGCTTTCCTTTGAAGGTGATGCTGAAGTGAGCAGTTGGGCTGGCAAAAAGAAAACAAGTTACATTTTTTCTTGTGATGTGACTGCATCAAGGTATTCCTTACATACTCTTCCCAGGGAGCCTTGCTGGCAGGACTGTGTCTCTTATGGGTGTTCCTGTTCCAGTTCTTGTGGGGCTTGCCTTGTTCTCTTTAATTAAGCATATTTGTCTGACTTGCGGCCCAATAGGCATTTATAGGGATCTTTGACGTGTTTACAGCTGAGCGAAGAAAAACAAGCAGGCTGATACGAACTGAAGATGGGCACAACTCTCCTCACATGAAATGTGGCCTGTTGTCATCCAAAACAAGCTGTAACGGGCAGGACACTGCCTCCCTGCCAAGACACCCAAGGAGCTGGAGGCAGCCTGTTTACTCCTGCTGCTGACAGGCGCTAACCTCTGTGCAGTGGGGTCTCCAGTAGAAATGTTTTTCTCATCTTTAGTAACTGCTACACAGCACACTTTGCTCCTGCAAATGAATGCTGGAGACAGGGAACCTTTCCCATTTGAAGAGTGAATGAGGTGTTGGAGAGGGAGATAATGCCAGTAAAGCACAGAACAGCCAGGTCTGGTGAGCACGTCCTGCACCCTGCCTTTACTGCCTAAAGCTGTTGGCTTGGCAGCACGGCTAGAAGAGGCAATGGCAGGGACAGATCTCCAGGAAAGACCCCCACCCCCAGGCACTGCCTGCTCCCGGAGCTGCTGCCATGGTCTGCTTGGATGGAAAGGCTGGTGGGTCAGGGAACCTCCTCCCGCTACTTCTGCTTTTCTCCTCTGTGCCCAAAAGTGCCTCATCTTGCCCACCCATGCAGAAAGGTATGGCTGAGGGAACAAGGCTGGCATCAGTGAGCTGTGCTTGCAGGCAAGGAGGATGTACAGCGGTCCCCCTTTGCTTTAAGGCCTGTGTCAACACAGTAAAAGCAAACCCCAGTCCTTGAAGAAACTTGGAGGTGAGGTCATTCCCAGCCGTTGCTGTGCAGACTCTGCCTTTTTTTGCTGTAAGGACCATGGTGTCTTTGGAGGCTGAATCACTTGCACCAGTTTCCTTTATGGCAGGTGGGAGCACCACACTCAGCCAGGCACAAGCAGGGTGTGCAGCGTTAGATTAGATTGCTGGAGGTGCAGCTTGCAGGAGCAAGGGATCAGGGGCCCTTCTTCAACCTGCCTCCCCTGTCTGCTTCAACCTACCCCTGTTCTTCCACTTTTTATTGTTGTGTGTAAATAACACTGGGAGTATGTTATCTTCCTATCTTGGGTTGTGATGAGTGGTTCTGTCTCGTTTCTGGTGTCTCAGCCTGCTGCTTTTCTAACTCAGCAGTGTGCAGTCCCACTCTCTGAAGTGAGAAAAGGGAGGTGTTTGGAAGAAACCAGAGATCATAGATGTGCAACTAAAAAAGTCCTTATGGCAAGGCCTCTACCTCCCCAGTATGTACATCTTTAGTGTCCCTTTCCTTCCTCAGAAAACTGGTTTCTTACCCCAATCCCACCATGGTGAGCTCTCTGATATTCGGGAATCCAGGCCACTACAAAGCAGCACTACAAATGGCTTTAAAACTGACCCAAGTGTTGGTGTGAATGGGCAGGTGCTTGTGTTTGTATGAGAAAAACAGCTGGCAGAAAGCTGAAGTTGCTCGTTTAATTTAATGCATCAGCTTCCTTCTCTAGCCTCCTTCCCCAGGCACCTTCAGAAGCAGCTATGCATCGGGGTGAGCACACCTACATAATGCAGGTTCATTCACATGCACACAGGCTGACTTTGGCAATCACACACACACAAGGTGACTTGCCTCTACATGCAGAGTATCGCTCCTTTGCATAGCTAATTGCACCAAAGGTTACTCCGTGCCCATAGGGAGAGAT